AACTCTTGCCGATCACTGGTTGAGAATCACTGATCTACATCGTCGTCTTACTCCGCCGTCTGTACGCTTAAACCTTTTAAGCTACGTAACGGATTTTGATGCTGTTTCCATCACTAGACAGAATAATTTAAAGGAAAAGCTTATATGTATAATACATGCATATTATATATTTAATTAAACATTTTTCTGTCCGTGTGTATGTGACTAAGCTCCTCCTTAACGACTGGACCGATTTGAATGAAATTTTGTGTGTGTGATTAAGTTGATTAGAGATGGTTTAGATTTACAATTGTTCCCGTAGATGGCATTGTTGTTAAAATCCATTAATCACCGGTGTGAAGCCGGGCGGTTTCTATAGTTATTATACATACATATTTAATCGCATCTTTAAAGAATTATTTAAAAATTATTTAAATATTAATCTGTTATTTGATTTTATGACTAGTCGTTTGATCGTACTAAGTTGATTGTTTATGTTTAAAAACTATAACGGTATAATCTATTTTAATGAAAACGTAATTATGTATTACTGATGTAATTAAGAGCGGAGTGAAATTTGTATGTACTCGTAGTGATAATTACTCACGAACAATTACATCTCGAGATATGCGAGACGAAAATAACTAACGCACGAACATACTCAAATATACATAGATAACTTTTGAATACAAAGAAATCAAGCTCTTTGGGCCTTAAAAATGGAGATATGTTGAATTTTTTAACCTACTTCAAAAAGGAAACAATTTGACTGTATGTGTTTCTTTTCGAACGACTTCAAAAAAGGAGGAGTTTCTCAATTTGTCGGAATCTTTTTTTTTAATGTATATTCACAGATTACGCAAAGACGCCTGAACCGATTTAGAAAATTCTTTTTTTGTTTTAAAGGGTATACTTCTCAGATGGTCCCATTTCAATTTCATCGAAATCGGTCGAGGGGTTTTAAAAAATCAACAATAAATTATATTCATAGTGAAGTAGTTTGTACAAATTTTTAAATTTACTACTTGTTTATATGTATGATAAGCGATAACTTCGTCAATTGTGAACCAATATTGATCAATCTTGTTTTATAAAATAGGTTATACTCCAGAAGTGGTACCACATATTTACATTTAGATAAAAAAATCCACCCCTAAAGGTGGCAAAATAAGTGATGAAGTTTTTAAGGACGTTGCGGTTGTGGTATTACTTAGCCTATTGAAAAGGGTGGTAAAATTGAAAAAATTGTGCAATCGATTTTCATATAAATAAAATGAGAACATTATCAATGTAGTCAAGGTTAATTAAATACGCATTATTAAGGATAACTCTAAAACAGGTCAGCTCTTGATCACATTTATATAGGATTACATGAGAAGCACCAGCTTCAAAATCGGATCACCTAGAAAAAAGGTAACACACACAAAAAAGAACATACAGTCAAATTGACCTTCTCCTTTTTTTGAAGTTTGTTGAAAGTATGACGTCAGTGCTAAACATAGTGTATCTAAGAATTAATTGCCTTCAGAATGTGAAATTATTTTCTTCTATTTAGTTGTTTGAAGTCGGCTTTAACTTTTTCTGCCGACTTCCAAAAAGGAGCCGGTACTCAATTCGACTGTATGTTTTTTTTTTTTCGTTTTTTTTTATGTGTGTTACCTCAGAACTTTTTTCTGGGTGAACCGATTACGATGATTCTTTTTTTATTTGAAAGCTGGTACTTCTCGTGTGGTCCCATATGAATTTGATCAAGGTCAGACCAATAGTTTTTAAGTTATTCTTAAATAACTTATATTGAAGTCGGCTGTACAAAATTTTTAATTTTAAATTATATTAATAGTTGATTGTGGTATATCAAAGACATTTGCAACAATTTCCAAACGCGAATTAAATAAAGTTCCGTGCCGTGCCCGTGTCGTGAGGCGTGAATGGGACGACTGTCCGTGACTCGGGCGTTATGAAGGGTAGCATGCTTTAACAAGTCCCAGTTGATTGTGACCCAGTAATTTCGTGTATTAACGCAAACAGCTTCCAAAACGGCCATGTCTGCTTTTGAATAGCGCTCGCCTCTTAATCAAAGCGGGAGGAAATTAAATTGGGTACAGCATTCATTATTAGATTTATATTAGGTACAAATGTAACACACAATTACCTATTTCAGTTGTCTTGCGTTCAATCGTGGAAAGTGTTAATAGAGTTTTCATTTATTATAAATGCGTGTAATAAATATTTGTTTTTTAATACGTAACAGAACCACGCTGTAGCTATATTATTGTTGTTGTACGAATGGGTCGGCTCAACCGGGGAAGAACCACGCTATCAATACTAGCATTAATAATAATGTTGTATTTCGTAAGGTAACAGTAGAGAACCGGAGACCATTTCTACTGGAAACGATCTTAGTCCTCAGGGATGATTAGCATCTGCATTTTGAGGGACAGATATACATGGATAAGCCACAGCATCCACTTTTTATCACATTGTGTGTTTATCAACCTTATGCTATAAAATTGCATTTTTATATATTTTTTACTTTATATTTAAAAAAAATACTTTTATACTTTATATTTTTTTAAAAACTTTACCTCCACACTAGGATTTTCTCATGTATGGTGAGGGTAGTTTACATACATAAAGTCTATATACTATATAGGTTACTATATAGCCGTAAGAGTGTTTATCAACCATTTCTTCTCGAGGGTATCGAAAGAAGTGACTATGAGAATGGCCCAAAAGATCTCATGGCATCTATGGATGGTGGTATGACCATCTTATTTACGCCAGACGTAAAATACCTAGAGCAGTTTTGAGAAGCAGCGCTATAGGTAACAGACGTCTGGAACTGCCAAAAACACCAACCATACAAATATAACGGGAGATTTCTACGTTTCGCAGTGGACTTACTTTTGAATGATAACTAGACTTTTAGACTGTTTATAATAATATATTGCGAGAAGGCATGTACGACAAGTTTTGTCGGGGCTTTTTCAGTATTTGGTAGGTCTATATTTAGCAGGGGACTTGTGCTGATGTGACTTGTGCTTGGCGGACAGGAACACCAGGGGAAGAGCAGGTGCGTTGCCGGCCTTTTAAAAAGGAGTAAGCTCGTTTCTAGAAGGTCCCTAAGTAGTATCGATCTGGAAAATTCGCCGGTGGTAGACTATCCCATATAATCGCACGCATAACTAACGTGGTGGCTTTAAAACAATCGAAAATATTCTATACGAACGAAGTCGTGGGCACTGCTAGTTTGTCCTCAGCTTTTGAGTGTTGTGTTGAGGGTGAATTGTATGTAGGTAATTACTCGTGTTATGAAACATATTTGGATGAAGTTAATATCTATACAGCGTACTGGCAACGTTACTAAACGCGCACATAATTACAAGTCTTTATCTTTGGATCAAACCGGTGCTGAAACTTCATATAGTAGCATGTGAGTGATAAAAGGCTTCGATTATCTACACGTTGAAAGAGCCGAGCAAAATGTGAATATGGTTAGAGTCAGGAATTTTCATTAAAATACTTTTTAATATTTAATTTTTTTTTTGCATTGAGTTTGTACTATTTTTCGCATTACCAGATCGTGTTAGAAACAATGAATAAGAGTTGATAGTTGTAATCAGGATTGCTGAAATCCATTATATTAAAGATTTTAAAAATTAATTACCTAAGTTACGCTTAATAAAAGTAGTAAAATTAAAATTTTTGTACAATCGACTTCAATATAAATTATTAAGGATAACTCAAAAACTATTGGTCAAACCATGCGCCTTACCTATTTAAAGAGCGCCTCCCGCCCATCTATCCCAGTCACCACTGCACTCTCTTTAAACTAGGTAAGACACATCATTTTATCTACCGACTTCAAAAAGGAGGAGGTACTCAATTCGAATGTCTGTTGTTTTTTTTATGTGTGTTACCTCAGAACTTTTTTCTAGAAGAACCGATTTTAATGATTCTTTTTTTATTTGAAAGCTGGTGCATCTCATGTGATCCCATATAATCATTGATCCCATTTGAACACTCATTTGATCAAGATCTGATCAGTGGTTTTTTAGTAATCCTTAATAATGCGTATTTAATTTTAATTATTTTATTTATATTGAAGTCGGTTGTACATAAATTTTAATTTTACCACTTGTTTACATGATCTATCTTGTAGCCTTGGGCTGTATTGATGATAATGATCATAATTTAAGAAATCGGGTATGGTCAGTTTTTTTTAAAGCAGTTCTAGTTGTTTTTGAGTTCTCTCCTAATGTAGTGGTTGGGAGTTTGTAACTAGTGGTGTTGGGATTAGTGGAGACGGAGATAGTGCACACAATTGAGGGAGGGCGGGAGTTGCTCTTCAAACTAGGTAGGACACATTATTTTATTTACGTGGTAGAGCCATGCTGCAGATATATTACTGGTATAGTAGCACGAATGGGTTGGCTCGACCGGGGAAGGACCACGCTCGAAGCATTCGACAAGGGAGTGGGGAAAGGTGAAAGCGGGGACGTGGTATGACGGGTGATTTTGCTCTTTTGGCATGACAAGCATTGTCGAGACCACTCTCTACAATCTTTACGTATCCCTGGCCATACGTATCTTTGTGAGACCAATTGCACAGTAGTTGAACTTCCAGGATGGTGTAAGCTGTGTATTGTATCAAAAACTTGTTTTCTAAACTGAGGGGTAACGTAAGGACGTAGCGGTTGCACAGAAGTGTCGCAATAGAGAGGTAAGTTACCATTCATACTATTGATCCTCTTCAATTGAAGGGTAAAGCCATGAACCAACGAGGCATTCCATCTTATTCCTCACGGGTGACAACACATCTGCATTTTGATTCGTTATCGAGGATAGATGTAGATGTCTATAGGCCACAGCAACCATTTATCATCATATGGACTGTGTGCTCGTTTATCGCACTTATTGCATAAAAAATATTACGCGGACTATAACTAATTATTTTTTTAAATCTTTAATAAGGCTTTTTTATCACATTTGCGCTGGTTTGTGTTTTTTCTTACCTGAGATCATACAATATAGTTCCGGCCGGGTTCCTTATGGCCCATCGCAAAGGGCCAGGTTTTCGCACGTACAGCGGCAGCAATGTCGCCCTTTAGGAGGGCGACGACGTCGTCCAGATACCGCAGCGCCCGGGACTCCGCGGTAAGAGCGCGTGCAGCCGCCGCGCATCGACATGCACGCGCGCACTCCGCCTGGTAAATAAAATTTATAAATATATATTTTTTATATATTTTTTTCTTCAGGTTTGACTTTTGATAAGAAATTATCAATTATAATTTGTTTCATAAACTTCTTTACAATATTATGCTGATACGTCACATTTAAACCATAAAACTGACACAACAATCCCCCGGCTTTATTTTATAGAACAAGGGTGACAAACGAACTCACAGTTCACCTAATGGTAATGATGCTGTGGTCCATGGATATCTACATTTATTCTCAATTAAGAATCAAAATGAAAATGCATTGTCACCCCTTACGCTGTTGCCACACGGCGGTATTTACAATGTGAATGACTTAAAAGAATAATGTCCTTCAGACCGTATTTCAGTAACGGCTGCCAGTCTCGACGGAGACGTGTAGGTGGTAGAGCCATGCTGCAGCTATATTAGTAGTATAGTTGTGACACGGATGGGTCGGCTCGACCGGGGAAGGACCACGCTCTCACAGAATACCAGCGTAAAATGGCAGCTTGACACTGCTGTGTTTCGTATGGTGAGTGTAGAGAACCGGAGACCCATTTTACTGGAAAAGAGGCATTCCATCTTAGTCCTCACGGGTGACGATGCATCTGATATATATGACATAGATGTCCTATAGGTCACAGCAACCACTTCCCATCAGGTGGACTGTGTGCTCGTTTGTCACCCTATCCTATAAAAAAAGACTAGCCATCTGCGCAGGACAATATTTTAGTGCCCTAGTAAATGCGCAAGCACAAGTACACTCCCTATTGCCTTACTCTCATAGTCCCATAGGTCGTATATCCAAGACGACCAGAGGGAGATCAGGCGCAGGACCAATGTCACGGGGCTGAACTATTGCCATCATTCTGACTCCGGGCTGCTACAGAGAGTTTCTCGACAGAAAAGTTTAAAAAAACGGTTTTGGATCGAAGCGGGATTCGAACCCAGGATAACCTGATCAATAGTCATGCTTACGATCATTAGCCCAAGGGGAGGTCATGGCTTGAAATATTCAAATTAGCGGCAATAGTCAGCAGCATCAAGGGTACGAGACGTCTAGTAATGCAATCGCCAATCCATCTAACTGCCCAGGCGTTGTTGCTGTAACATTTTTTAAAAATAAAACTGAAGTGACAAACGAACTTACATTCTAATTAATAGTACGTAGGTACTATAATCTAAGGGTACTCGCAGCCAATTAAAAAAAAAAGAACGCTACAGATACGTTGTCACTAATGACGACTGACATGGAATACTTCACAGCCTGTAATTAGTATACACGCTCTATATTTTTTTCACAAACGAGCACACAGTCCACCTGATGGTAAGTGGTTGCTGTGCCCCATAGACATCGACATCTATCCCCGTTTGCGAATCAAAATGCAGATGAGTTGTCACCCGTGAGGACTAAGATGGAATGCCTCATTTCCAGTAAAAAGGGTCTCCGGTTCTCTACACTCACCATTCGAAACACAGCAGTGTTAAGCTGCTATTTTACGCTAGTATTCTGTGAGAGCGTGGTCCTTCCCCATCCTTTCCCTATTTGGTGGCACAAACAGGTAAGAGGGTGGCACCTTTCCAGAAAAGGAGTCCTACTACTATAAACACTCACGGCTGTCATCCAGAGGGGTAGGCAGAGACTATAGACTTCCATTTGGCATGATCCTGACACACCTCTCTCCCCTCTTTTACATTCACATACCTACGCATACATGCTCGTCGTTCATGGTACTCTTAATCTATCCCATCTTCAATATATCGCCAGTTTGATCGATAAACTTTCCCCGACCCTGCCGTTCACTTTTGCAACATAGATTTGCTTTTCAACTCTTTCCTCGTTCATCCTTTCAACATGACAAAACCATTGAAGCATTTTTTTTAATCCTGGTTACAATATCGTCTTGCGTACCACATTTTTTTTCATCACACTATTTCATACCTTCTCATTCAAAGTCCTACGACCTAGTAAAATACGCTTTGCTATCGGTGAGGCAGACGTTTTTTTAAATAGAATAAAGCTGTGAAGCGAACACACAGTCAACGTAATGGTAAGTGGATGCTGTTACCCATAGACATCTTTCCTCGATTACCGTCGACGTGATATACGTCAACCACTGAGGACTAAGTTGGTTCAACGTTCCCAATGACCTTTTCATTGGAAACGTTGAACCTACTTAGTCCTGGTGTGTTTCTCGAGGACTTAGATAGAAGGCCCTGTTACCAATAAAAAGGTTACCGTTTCCCTACACTCACCATACGAAACAAAGCAGCATTGAGCTGCTATTTTTTTCTCCCTTTACGAGCCGACCCATTAGTGTTACAACCATAATAAAGCAGTATAAATCTTCCCAAGGCAAAGGCTACTGATATGAGGAATTAAAATAAAAAAGGATTCTTTTATATTCTGAACTATAAAAAATGTGATTAACGTTGAGGTGGTCCTCGGTTTAAATTGAATTAGGATTGCGTGTGTGAGAGTTGCGTGATCGCGCCTTATTATGTAGCTGAAGCCTTAGCGAGATTAGCCGAGGTGTTACAATGCGTTTCCGTGCTGGTGCATTTTGTTTCATTTTGCAAAAGAGCCTTCATTTAATGCATCGCAGACTAAACTGTACCTACGGTTACAGCCTTATGCCTTGCAGCCAATAAATTGCCTTATAGGGATGATATTTGCCATAATTACCATGCTAGTCAGGTGGGTTGACAACCTCAATTTTATATTTTAGCCGGTATCAGGAAGACGCTGCTGCCTATCTCCTGATTTGTTTCCCTCTGTCACCTCTTACGACACCCGTGGAATGATATGGGGTATTGGATATTCTTACACTGCCACTAAATGTTATTTTTAGGATAGGATGACAAACGAGTACACAGTCCACCAGATGGTAAGTGGTTGCTGTGACCCATAGACATCTACATCTACCCTCAATAAAGAATCAAAATGCGTTGTGATCCGTGATTCTAAGATGAAATGCCTCCTTTCCAGTAAAAAGGGTCTCCGGTTCTCTACACTCACCATACGAAACATAGCAGTGTTAAGATGCTATTTTACGCTGGTATTCTGTAAGAGCGTGGTCCTTCCCCGGTCGAGCCGACGTTTCATTCGTGGTACAACTATACTACTAACATAGCTGTAGCATGGCTCTACCACAAATAAACATGTCTCTTTATGTTTGACAATAATTATATCTAGCATCTTAGTCCTCAAAGGTGACAACGTATCTGTGGGCTTCTTTGTTTGAGGTGGATGTCTAAGAGGATCCACTATTCTACATCAGTCCTTGGGTATTGTAAGAGGTGAAGAAAACTAAAGTGGGAGATGGGCAGCAGCATATTTCATATAACAATTTAAAATATTAAAAACTTGCTGTTGCCAAACCAAAGCGTGGCAACTATGGCAAATATCCGCCCTATGAGGACTTTTGGTAGAATGTAATTAAGAAACAATATTTAAGCAAATAATTACAAAAATATATTTTTTTTAAAGAAATAAGCAGTTTTAATTTAATATTTTTTCGTATACGGTCTTATGCTTTTCACAACGCTATCAGTAACAGATGGACAGACAAGGTTTCATTTCCGCGAGTAGAGCCGTATTACCCGTCATTGTCTGCCAACTTTTTATTCAACGATACAACAAAGGACGTTTGCAGTGTTCCCACAGGAAGAAGACAAACTTTCCATACAAACAACGAGCATATAAAACGTATATAAAAGTTTTACACTACAGGTGGCGAGGATTGAGGTCAAAACAGTTTTAAGCGTTGCTTTGGATATGATATTATTATTTTTCCAAACGTAAGGTTTCCTGAACATGAACTCACACTGCAAGTTATTATTTAGCGGCGAACGGATAAACACAAAGAAAAATCGTGTAAGAACTGCATCGTACCCGCATCGCGACTGAATTTGCGCCGCGCCGGCGCTGCGCCGCCATTTTGTTAAGTGTGAATATTAATTTGGAAATTATGCGATTTATTTACAAACGTAAGGCTTCCTGTATATTGAGTCACACCACAAGTTAGTGTAATTTTTATATAATAAGGGTGACAGGCGAGCATACAGTCCACCTGATGGTAAGTGGTTGCTCTGTCCCATATATTTTATGTATGTGTTGCATGTATATATTTGAACTGAATTATATCATGGCAACTTAACTGCCCAAACTCACTCTCTGTTCTAGTCAAGGTTAGCTGGTAGAGAATGCCATATAGCATTAAGCTCGCCTTTTGTACAAATATTTGGTGCAATAAGGAATAAAATAAATAAATAGACATCTACATGTGTCCTCGTTTGCGAATCAAAATGCAGATGCGTTGTCACTCGTGAGGACTAAGATGGAATGCCTCTTTTCCAGTAAAAAGGGTCTCCGGTTCTCTATACTCAACTTATGAAACACAGCAGCATTAAGCTGCTATTTTACGCTGGTATTCTGTGAAAGTCCTTCCCCAGTCGAGCCGACCCATTCGTGCTACGACTATACAATAATAAAGCTGCAGCATAGCTCTACCGCGTTGTGTATACAGGCGAACGGATAATTACAAACAAAAATCGCGTGAGGGCCGCACCGTCACCGCACTACAGCTGCGTTATCTTCGCCATTTTGTGTATGTTACGCGACGGTTAATAGCACGGCACTAGCGAAATTCACACAAGCAGAAAATATCGCCAATTTACAACCGGACTGCCCCAGAAGGGGGGAGGTAACGTTTTTCAAGAGTATGTACGAGTATGTATGTCTATTTCTACGGCACACTCTGTAGCTCTCACTAACGGCTCGATATCTTTTAACATATGAGGTGTTGTTAGATTCGCCTGAATTGGGGGCGTGACATAGGTTATTATTATTTATATATTGCAACTGCTAATACAGAACAAAGGGAGAAAAAGATTATTTTCAGTAAAAATTTTAACACAATCGTGTTTTTTATGATTCCGTGGTTACACAACAAGGAACCATTATAGTTTCGCCATGTCCGTGCGTCCGTTCGTCCGTCCGCGGT